GTATTGACTCAGGGGGGGCTGAATAATTTTGCACATCGCACTTTTCAGTTTTTTATTTGTAAAAAATGTTTTGATTCAATCCGCCTGTCGATCTCCCGCTCCGTTCTTCCCCCATTCGTGAACAAGATCCCCAGATACTTAAACTCCTCCACTTGAGACAGGGCGACCCCCCTGACTCGGAGAAGGCACTCTGCCCTTTTCYGGCTCAAGACCATGGCCTCGGATTTGGAGGCTCCTCCTTGAAACATTTGGGGTAAATTATTGACCAGAACAGACCACGAACATCCTACACTCACTAAAGTTTGAGTAGCTTTGTTACTTTTGTCCATACATTCTGACCTRTATCAGAGTCATTTAGAAGCTCACAAATGAGTCTGACCATCTCTTGTTTTCTAACAAACCAAACTCAAAGACCGTGTGTTCATTTGCTGCCTAACAAATTCCGCCTTCTGCCAGATGTTACTGAAACACAACATGAACTTTTTCACCTGTTAAATGATCTGATGTTGAGGCAGTTTGTCCATTCTTCTGTGTAGGATCTGTCATGACACCCTCACCTAGCATGCACTTTAGCTATAACAGCCCTGAGCATGGCAGCGATGCAGAACGCCACAAGTGTTACAGGCCCCTTTGTGGTTCACTTAAGGCTCGGATTCAGTAAATCATTCAAGTCTAATAAAAAATGTAACCCCTCTGGTGTTAAAATGCATAACTTTGTAGTGGTCACCTCAAGTGGAATAAACAACAAAACTGTCTGTGACCTTCGGCCTCTGACAGACCCTTTAAGTCAGACAGAAAACTCTGTTCCAGTTACACTGAATTTAGGCCATAACAGGTCATCTTAACCGTTAAAGAGACATTCTCTTTTTCTTAATTAGATAATAAACAGAATTATCTCCATTATTTTTTTTAACTAAGAGTTCTTATGCATCTGATAATCAGAGACAATGTTTATCAAAGTTACATGAGGAAGGAGAAGAGATCCTTCCCTTTAACTTTGATTCAGCTATGTTAAGGATTTTTCTGTTAAAATATCTTGCTTAACTAAACTAATCGTTATGGTTTAAGTTTTATTATAAAACGCCAATGTTTTATTTGTCTGAATCATATTGCAAATGTTTTTAGTTGAAATAATTCATACATTCGATGTGAAGTTACAGGTCAACACTGACATGCAAATGTTAGTAATTTTTGTTTAGTTCTACATGGYGACGGTAGTCTTGAACTAAAAATTTTTAATCTCTTTTAACTAAGGTATCCTGTTGTTGCAATAAAACTCAGCTGATCATCCCACGGACTACCTTCATTCTTGGACCATGTATTTCTGTCTTTGTTAAATAAATATTGCCATAACATGTATAGTGTGCATTTATAAGAACCGTTGTGCAAGAAGAAGTTGAAGTTTTTGTTATGTTTTTTTGTTTGAAGACTATTATTGTTTCAATTTATTTATTTTAAAAAAAGGGGTAGATATCAATAAGAATTTTTTTTCTTTTTTCTGCTACCTTTCATTTTATTTGTGTTGTATTATTATTTGTTGTATGTACAGCGCGTAAAATAAGTATTGAACACGTCACCATTTTTCTCAGTAAATATATTACTAGAGGTGCTAATGACATGAAATTTTCACCAGATGTCGATAACAACCTACGTGATCCATACATACAAAGAAATCAAACCATAAATGTCCAGAAATGAAGTTATTTGTAATAATGTGGAATGGCACAGGGAAAAGGTATTGAACACATGAAGAAAGGGAGGTGTAAAAAGGCATGGAAAGCCAAGACACCAGCTGAACTCTCTCAGTAATTAAAAAGCAAGCCTGCCCCTTGTCAGTGCAAATTAATATCAGCTGGTTCAGTCCCAAATGATGGCCAGGTATCACACAAGAAACATCTGATGATGGGTAAAAGTAAAGAGCACTCTCAAGACCTTCACAACCTTATTGTTGCAAAGCATAATGATGGCATCGGTTACAGAAGAATGTCTAAACTTCTGAAGGTTCCAGTGAGCACTGTTGGGGCCATAATTCAGAAGTGGAAAGAACATTATTTCTCCATAAACTGACCATGACCAGGTGCTCCTCACAAGATTTATGACAGAGGAGTGAAAAGAATTATCAGAAGAGTTGTCCAAGAGCCAAGGACCACTTGTGGAGAGCTTCAGAAAGACCTGGAATTAGCAGGTACGTTTGTTTCAAAGAAAACAATAAGTAATGCACTGAACCACCATGGCCTGTATGCACGCTCACCACGCAAGACTCCACTGCTGAAGAAACAGCATGTTGAAGCTCCTTTAAAGTTTGCTGCACAACATTTAAACAAGCCTGTGAAATACTGGGAGAATATAGTCTGGTCAGATGAGACCAACATTGAACTGTTTGGATAATACACATCATGTTTGGAGGTCAAATGGCACTGCACATCAGCCCAAAAACACCATACCAACAGTGAAGTTTGGAGGTGGGAACACCATGTGTGGGGCTGTTTTTCAGCATATGGTACTGGCAAACTTCAAATAATTGAAGGAAGGATGAATGGAAAAATGTACAGAGACATTCTTGATAAAAAAATCTGCTTCCATCTACCAGGATGATGAAGATGAAACATGGCTGGACATTTCAGCAAGACAATGAGCCCAAACACAAAGCCAAGGAAACTCTCAGTTGGTTTCAGAGAAAGAAAATAAAGCTGCTGGAATGGCCCAGCCAATCACCTGACCTGAATCCAACAGAAAATCTATGGAAAGAACTAAAGATCAGAGTTCATAGAAGAGGCCCACGAAACCTTCAAGATTTGAAGACTGTTTGTGTGGAAGAATGGACCAAAATCACACCTGAGCAATGCATGCCACTAGTTTCTCCATACAGGAGGCGTCTTGAAGCTGTCATTGACAACAAAGGCTTTTGTACAAAGTATTAGATAAATTTCAGGTAGTGTGTTCAATACTTTTTCCCTGTGTCATTCCACATTATTACAAATAACTTCATTTCTGGACATTTATGGTTTGATTTCTTTGTATGTATGGATCACTTGGGTTTTTACCGACATCTGGTGAAAATTTCATATCATTAGCACCTCTAGTAATATATTTACTGAGAAAAATGGTGACGTGTTCAATACTTATTTTACCCATTGTATTTGTTTTGTTTTTAAATGGAAGGAATAAATTTGTTAAAAAAACAAAAAAACAGCGTTTTGGCTGCATGATTCGAATGCCTATGCCAACGGGGAATCTCAGCATGCCAACACACGACGTGTCCCAAAAACATGAGCTTCTAAGCTCCACAAGTAACTTGTTTACAACTTCCTCTGGGAAGGAATTTATTTTGAAATGGGATCCAGCTTTGTCTTGCCTCTACCTACGGCTTGATGCGGAATCAGACTGGCGCTGGAAACAAGCATGTCTAGAGAGGTCCCCAGCTGAGTAAGTGAACTTGACGGATTTCTTCTTCTTCTTCTTATTAATTATTATTATTATTATTATTATTATTATTATTAATTATTATTATTAAGTATATATATGTGTATATATCATATATTTTATATACAGTATTATATATATTATGTAAATGTGTATATATTATATTACTATGTTATATTATATATTATTACATAATATATCTTATTATATTATTATTGTAAAGCGTCTTTGAGGGTCTCGAAAAGCGCTATACAAGACTAATGGATTATTATTATTTCTTACCGACTGRAAGGGTGACTGACTCATCGTCAAGGTAAAACCTGGCTGTTCTGAGCGTATTCCTGGTTCTGACCGAAAGCAAGTGAAAAATGCTTCCCTCTTCTGGTTAACCCACATTATTTAAGATAAAGTTAAAGTTCTAATCTTACCTTCCTCCTTTCATTAAACTACCCTGCCTTGCCAAACTTAAGTACCTGCAAATGTTCTGGTTTGTATAACATCTAAAGCCTTATGTTTTGCTGTTTCTAAAGTTGTCGTATTTAATAATAAATAAGCTCGGACACGTGCTTATTTTATTGTTAATTCTTAAACTTTTATAGGAAATTTGATTGCTCACAATTAAGTTGTTCACTCATAATTTGTTTGATTTATATAAATAAATTATCTCGTTTGTTGCTGCATCAAATCGAATTCACTGAGTACTTCACTTATTGTGTTTGTCATTCACTCTTGCACAAAAGAGATATTTCCCTAAAATAAAAAAAAAACCTTGATAAATAATTTCCTATAACTTTCATTATAAGAAGTGTAAGTGACTCTTACACCTGCAACTCACCTGCTTAAGAAGACACTTCCTCATCTTTTCCACGTCGAGTGGTTCCTCTTTAAGTGCAAATTCTACTATGGTGCCCATAAGGCTGCACTGAGAGAAGACCCCAGGAACACTGTGTTTCAGCCAGCGGTACCTCTGAACGTTTGCTACAGTGTTTAGTAGTGGCTGCCACTTGTCCTGCTGCAAAATAAGATCATTATTATGCTTTAACATACCAATGATAGGCACACAGCAGAAAAATGGTTTTGAAAATTCATCAAACTGAAGAAAATGAAACAGCAGAAACATACAGAAACATCTCAGAAATTATAGATGTTAAAAAGTGACTGGAAAAGCAGCTCTTGAAAGCACAATTTATCATAATATTTATCAGCGACTTAGCCCAGTTCATCTACCTTGGATGTCTTGCCAGTGGGTGACTTCCTGTCTGCAGGAGTGGGGCTGATGTGAACATTATGCTCCTCTTCGTTGGTCCCCTCATTTTCCAGCTTTGGCTCTTCAATGTCAGCTGACTCTGACTTCTTAGGCACTGAAAAAGGAATATATTTACATTTGTTCAAATACATGACAATAATCCTTCACGTTGAAGCAGGCTGACAGGATCACACCTCTTTTTTTCCTTCGGTCCCGGATAAGTTTCTGTGCGATCCTCCTCCACCGAGGCTGAGAGCTCAGCAGCTTCAGTTTGGACACGATTGACAGGTCGTTGCTCACAGCTGGACGCAGCTCATTAAACAGGAAGCGTAGGCGCTCGATAACAGGGGCACACACTTCTTTATAGGAGCGACCTTGTTCCTGATGGGTCTTGAAGGGCAATAAAGTCGATGTAAATGTCTTGGTTTGTATATCAGACAGAGGTTTTATTTAAATCGTTATTATGTGTGGATGTCTCAAGTGGAAATCCTACCTTGATTAGAGAACATTTTGCCTGGTAGACCATGCGGCATACGTCAATCACAGATTTAGGGAGGGACCTTTGTTTTCCTTGGTCCACACCCAAGGCACACTGACTGACAAGTGAGAGGGCAATGTGACCTGTGACAGCAGAGGGCTGCATTTAAATAACTGCAGAGCCAATATAAAAGGTACTTGTATTTATATTTAAGTACAAACACTAAACACAAACAGATCATTTTCATTGTACAGTAAAAAATATCACGTCTATAACTCCTCCTTAGATAAAACAGTTTGAGCCCAGCTGCTTGGTTACCCAGGTCTTGGTGCTTGAGCAGGCAGCAGAGCAGCAGGCGGCCAACTTCCTCGACAGGATGCTCCGGAGGGAAGGTGATGGGTGTAATGAGATGGTACTGCTTACAACAACGCTCTATTTGGCATAAGAAGTCCTAGAACATCACAACAACAACAAAAGCAAAATATGAAAAAAAAATAAGACCATTATGCCTCATGTGGCTTGTTAAAGGGATCTCAGACTACTTTCACATGTTGGCCCTCATACAGCATCTTACTTTTTTATTCTACTAAAAGTGGTTTGTGGCACGTGGAAAAAAAAAATCACTTGATTTCTTAAAAATATATTTTACTTAAGCATATYACCATTTTGTTACTGATGCAGTGGATTTTGGGGATGATGATGACAGGTGAGACTAGAACACGACTCAAGACTAAAAAGTTATAATGTGTGACAATAAGGTTATATTTTGTATTAGTTACTTTGTTCTGTATAATAAATGAGTTGAAACGATTAAACATGATGTTTTGTTAGCTAAGAAGCTAATGTGAAAGCCAACAGGCTAAAGCCGAGGTTCTTCCATGAAGCAGCTCTGTTGTCCTCCATCATCATCTTCAGTTTCAGGCTGAGTCATTTCTACGTTCTCCTCTCTGGTTTCATTTAAAAGGACTGAACTGCTGTTCAAGCTGGATAGAGGAGGTCGGACCAGAGAGTCATCACTTACCCAGAATACTTTGCGGCATAAATAAAATGGTGACCTTCACATGACAACATATTATTTAATTTATAAAACTAAACAGCCTGCAGTATTTTTACAGTTTTGTATTTATAGCTGAAGTAATAGTTTATCAAATAATGTCTAATGTTCAACTAGTCAGAGATCCCTTTAAGGAAATTTAGTCCAGCTTGTACCTTCACAGTGTGGTCCTGAGTGTTGTTGTCAGCGATGGCCTGCAGAAAAGGTTGAGCATGGTCGCTGAGCGTTATCCTGTGGGAGTAAAGTTTGGCTTTATCAGGAGTGGTTGTACCCAGGGAGCTGCAGTGGTCTTCATCCTTTTCCTCATTATAGTTGTAGTGGATCTGACTGGTCTGAAGGCCACCAGAGAATATGGAGGTCTGGAGCCATTCTGGTCAAGGAGAAAGGAAAAATCAATCAAAAATGACGTGCAAGATTTTCCTGTCTGGTTTGTTTTTAAGTTTTTCAACCCACTGGCACATTCGATTTCCATGGGCGACAATGGAGTGCTCTTGGCAAGGTAGGAGGCATGAAGACCCAGCAGCAGCCCCAAGTTCCTCTCAGTGTCAATAAGAGGAGAGGACAGACTGCTGAGATCTGGAGTGGTGACGGTCTCCTGGTTGGGCTGGAACAAAAAATGTCACAATATCAAAAAGGAAAATTATTGACTGAACAAGCGTGTGAATTGTGGTATGCATGACGGGAGGGTTAGTACCTCCATATATTGTCCAACACAGAAAGCCTGCATAGATTCCCTCGTGTCTTCAAACTGTAGAGCAGCTTCCAGAGCAACCACAGGGTCCTCTCCTGCAAACTGAGCTGGAAAAAGAGACATGCTGGTTTGATGAACGAATAACAAAGTGAACAGGAAACATTTCTGTAGAGGTCTTAAAGGGTTAATGCAGTTACTGCCTGAAACTCCATCATCTGCTAACTTTAAAGTTCAGTAATAATTTGGGACTTTTGTAATTCTCTAAAACTTCTACTTAAATTTAAGCTGCCAAAATGCTGACATTTTAAAGTATAAACATAAGAAGTGTAAGGACAAGAAGATTCCTTCTTCTTGAAGAGAACAGGCTCATTAGGGTCACACCTGTGTTTCTGAMCATGAGAGCACTCTTTATGAGACAGGCAGACAGATGACAGAAAAAACGTTAAACAAATGGGCACCGTTCAAAACGAGACATTTTTACCTTTTTTTAATACAAGTCTTTGATGGTACAGCACTTTGGTCAGCTTTTGTTGTTTTTAATGTGCTATATAAATAAATTTGACAATGAGTTTGAGAAATACTACTTCTCTCATTTTGAAGAGAAAATTCTGAGTTCAGTGGAAATTGTGTGTGTATACAGAGTGTATTCTGCACTGTGATAGATTTAAGAGAAAACTGTAAGCCCTGTTACACTAAGAGACACTGGCTTTGTCAGGAGTTGCAACCAGTGTAGACCGCGGCCAACGTTGTCCACAGTCTACGTGGGCCATAGGCCGCTCGTGTCGGCTGCATAAACGGTTGTGAAGAGACGGTCTAGTCTACAGAAGACGTAAGTTTGCGTGACCACGCTCTGCCTCATTATCATGGTGATACGTTTTATATTACATACCTTCAGTTGTTTTTCCAAGGTACAGTGGGGAAAATAAGTATTTAGTCAGTCACCAATTGTGCAAGTTCTCCCACTTAAAAAAATGAGAGAGGCCTGTAATTGGCATCATAGGTAGTCCTCAACTATGAGAGACAAAATGTGAAAAAAA